ATATATTTAAAATTTTGTGTTCCCTCTCCTCCTTTTGGGAAGATGATCTATAATTCCAATATCATTTCATTTCTGGATAGATTACTCCTGCAAATGAATACTGGGCTCAGATACACTCCTAAATTCTTGTGAATCCTTCACCTAATTAATGAGAGGTGAGTCTCTTAACCTACTGCCCAGGTCCCATGGCAGATTATTAGCACTATTGCTTTGATGGATCTTTTTAAGTGCTCCTCTTGGGAAAGATATTTGAAAGTCACATTTAAATAAAGATCCCAAAATTACTGAACATTAATTCTCTCCTAGTCTCAAATGCTATTTCTGGCGAAGGTTATGGAGGCAATTTTAATGGGAGAAATACACCATTATTTAGTTACCCTGATTCCCAATACGCAGCAAAGGACTTTTGCTAATCTTTTATTCCCTGACCTTCTCTAATGATATAATGGATTTCGTTCATCTTGGAAACAGAGAATGAACTGAAAGAGAAAAGAACTAGACTTCATGAAGGTTTATTTTATCTCCTCAACCCAAACACAACCCTCAGGGAGGTAGCATCTTGATCAAAGCATTTACATGACTTGCAATTTAATGTTGTATCCAAGAAAGTCCTTTTCTTTCTCTCTCCCCTGTTTTACCCTCAATTGATACATTGGAGTGAAACCAAAGAAGTTTTTTTCTCACATAGAATTATAAAATGGAAAAGAATCACAATCCAATTCACTCAGGGAGAACAACTCAGAGAGTATCAGTAACTTGCCCAAAGACATGAGCGTATTAGCAGCAAAATCATGACTGAGAGAAAGTCTCCTCACACAGTGTTCTTCCTCCTGCATGAGGCCACGTAAGTGTAGCTTATGAATTATCATTTTTTGTGTTTTACATAAATATATATTAAATTTTTTTTCTTTGTTGATTTGAGAGAGAGAGAGAAAGACATAGAAATATTGATGAGAGAACATTGATTGGCTACCTCCTGCATGGCCCCCACTGGGGATTTAGCCCACAACCTGGACATGTGCCCCGACTGGGAATTGAACCAGTGACCTCTTGATGCATGGGTCAACACTCAACTACTGAGCCACAACCACTGGACAATTTTTTTTTTTTTTAATTGATGAGAGAGCAAGAGAAAGAGAAAGATGTCGATCAGTTGTCTCCTGCATGCAACCCGACCAGGAATTGAACCTGTAACCTGGGTATGGGCCCTGGTGGGGAATTGAACCCACTACCTTTTGTTGTATGGGACAATGGTCCAACCAACCAAGCCACACCGGCCAGGGCTGAATCAGTCATTATTTAAAAAATCAAGCATGTATCCTTTCCTGCCCTGCCTTGAGACAAAAATCGAAAATTAAGTATGTTCAAATGACAAACAAAAAATTACAATTATATTTGATTTTTCTAATTTTCATAGTAAAAGCATAGAAAAAAAAACAAGGTAAAATGAGTTTGAAACATTTTTTAATTTTACAAAACTGTAAAGTAAAGAGATATATTCAGAATAACCACCAAAATACTAACTAATGGCAGAGAAAGACATTAAAAATACAAAGTAATGCTAAATACAACTTCACAAAGTGTTTCTACTCAGGAAGGCAAGAACCCAGTGAAGGAAGAAATGAGAACATTGGTGGGTGAGACTGGAAATGAAGATGCTCCGGATGGCAAAATTCATCTATTAAAAAGGCAAAGAGGAATATAACTCACATATTAAACGAACACAAAGTATCTGTCATCAAACATTGATTTTGCATTTAAGCATCATAGGGGACCTTAGTCAAAAAGCAAAGATAAGCCGACAATGCAAAGCCACAGCACTGGAGGGAAATGATCAGAGAATTTTATTTCAGGGAAAAGGAGAGCACAGTTCATATAATAGTTAAATAAAAGGCTGCTTTATCTTTCTGTAGACACATGTAAGTCCTATTATCTTCATAGGGAGTCCATGCATGTCCAGAGGAGCCGCTGCTTCCTCCCTTGAGTGAGCAAATAGGACTGTGTGAGCAGCAGGCTGGCAGAGAGTACAGGTGGCATTAATGAAGTCAGAACACAGACGGGACTTCTAAGACACTTATCCTCAATGGAAAAGGTCTTTGAAATATAAGCCATGGTTCACCTGTTTAGCACCAATTTACATCCGGTCCTCAATGAGGAGAGCATTGAATTTGCCCTCCATGTCTTAATTTCTACCCAGGTAGCTGCCACATGGGCTTTCTCAGGTAAGCCCCGATGTCTGCCAAGTCAAATGTGCAGCATTCTCTCTCAGGTTTAGAATTAGTATTGACCTTATTTATAGCAAGTCTTCCAAAGTGTATATTCTACAACTTTTATAATTACAAACAATACTTAAATTAACTCAAAAATTCTGCTCCCTGCCCCACCCAACACACACGTCTTTAATATACACCTAATAAATAACACAAAAATTCATATGAATATTTTCAGTGACCACCAGTAAATACAACTAGATAAAAATGTACATAACTATAATTAATTGAAGGAAGCAATTTAAAGTTTCCTAGAGGCATCAGTGTTCATTTTGAGAACAAATGCTAATCACATACTAGGAGTTAACTAGAAAGCACTCAGCTGGTAACAGTTGGCATGTTCAAGTTTTATTTAGACTCCATGCCAACTGAAAAGAGGCTATGGGTTAAGAGGACACTTGTGCAAAGATAACATCTGCCACATGTGGTAACAGAGGGTAGGATCTAGTCTAACCGTCTGGCCAGATATTGCTCATACTGCAAAGTAGTTCTTTATAGCTGGGATGCTATGGCAAGCTATCTCTTTATGCCTATCTTGTGATCCCTACTGAATGAGGATGTGGGGATTTCTTGGAGAAGCTGGGAGGATGATTTGGTCACCAAAAATCAGCCCTAAGACAACAACCTTATAAAGGACAGAGAAATAAAATCACTTTTGAATCTCTTATTGGATATGGGACAGGTGAGATATTTCTGAAAGGGAACAAAAGAAAACAAAACAAAACACCTTACTGAAGAGAAGAGTTTCAGGTCCCTGGACTTGGACCTGGATGCTAACCGATTAATAATAGTCAACTTGAAAACAGTTGTTTTGCTCACCGTTGACTCTATACACTTATGCAAACAGTTATGAGGTGTGTTTTGTTGTTGCTGTTGTTTTAAACTCTCTCATTCCTTTTCTTCCTGTGGGCTTTCCTATGAAGTAGAAAAAAAAAAGAAAAGAATTTATGCCTTGAGTATTTTGGGTCCATAATCCTTGAGACACCCCTGGGGATATGTCATGCTTATGAGTGTCGTCAGTCACACAGTGTACCAGAGAGGGTGTAACACTCAGCTGGTGTCACTGAAAATCTACTCTCCAGTTTGGGGTGGGTAGTATTAGGAGTTGTGGGGAAAGGTGAAACAAAGAACAAGGCAATTTGGGTGGAAATCAATAAAGAAACAGTGGCTGTTGAATAGAATGTTCTTTCTTCTTCAGGGGAGCAGCTTCTACCACTGGAGCTGCAGACAGTTCAGAAATGTTAAAATCAAAAATAGTGTCAGGTAAGCAGCAACTACACATGAGGCAGCAGCAGAAAGCAGGCTGGGCGGGGGTGGCAGGAGAACATGGACTAGTGCCTGCTAGGGACAGGGACTGGCTGTGTTCAGAGACCCACGTGTTTGTATTAGTTGAAGACAAGAAATCAAACCCCAAAGCTAGGGAGAGTGAAGAGAGAGCTAAGCACTCCTTCCTCCGTATGCTCAAAACATGTACAAGGCGTAATAAATGAGGATTTTCCTTTGCTTAACTGTCTCTCTCACAAAAATTTTAGCTCCTATAAGAGCTAGGACCATGTCTTATTCCTCTCTCAGCCTGTCCCCAGCACCTCAAGTAGGACTTGGCATAGAGTAGGGCCTCAAAAATGTTTATTGAAAGAGAAAGTATAAAGGCTCTTGGAGGAGGCAGCTGATTAGGAGAAAGAACAGTGCTATTTAGGAAGCTGCCATTGTAGTTCTGTCGCTGGCAGTAACCAGCTGTGAGGCCTTGGAAAGCCATTTGCTATTTCTGAGACTTGGCTTCTTTATTGGCAAAACAAATCTATTTCTTCAGATAACTCTAAAAATCTATGACTTTGAAAATAATCTAGGTGAGGAGTGGGGGAGTTTTCTTACAGCAGCTAAGTATCAGGTTTTACTAGATATGGCACCTTCAAAAATGGTATAAAAACCCAAATCTTTGAGATTTTAACTCATTTTAGTAAGTAGATTAAACACTTAAAATTGACGAACCTCAGAGGGAAGGGGGCGGGAGAGATAATCTAAAGAATTTAAATGTATATGCATAACCAGTGGACACAGACAACAGTACAGTGAAGGCAGGGAGGGTGGGGGTGGGGAGTGGGGGGGTCAGTGGTGGAAAAAGTGGGGAAATCTGTAATATTTTCAATAATAAAGATAAATGTAGAAAAATTAAATCAGCTACTGCCTCAATGATAATGTCAATCTCCCCCAAATGAAAATATATTGTTCTTACCATTCCCATGTAAAAGCTCTGAGTTCTTGTTGTGTATGGTTTCATTTCTGATTGGAAAGTGAATTATTAAGGTTATGTGTTACCTTGATGAGTTCTATTAATCTTCCAGGTGAGGCCTTTGTAAAAGAAAATAAAAGTTGCATGTATTCTGAATGTTCCCCTCCTCCCTTTCTCCAACAGATTTATTTTGGGGTGGGGGGGAAGCAATGGATTTTGAGGAGAAAAACATGGGTCAGAGAGGTATGGAATAGAAAGCAAATACAAATGTAAGCTGTTTTGCTAATTGTTTTATAACCACAGCCCATGAGCACAGAGAATGCCCTGTATAAAACGACACAATAAAGTTTCAAGGTCAAGATGTTCCTGTAGGCAGGGCTGAAGCTTTCAGTCTCTGGTATTTGGAATTTAGGCTGCAATCCTTTTTTAGGATGGACCATCAGGCATGTGGCACAGTCCATGTTTTTCACCAGAGTGGGACAGAAGGACGGCAACTTGGCTCAGTAGAAGCAAATGAAGTGTTTGGTTTTACGTGTGATGTAACTACTGAAGTTCCTCCCCAAGATGCCAGGTGGGGTTGTACATCTTGTTAACCCCTTCTTAATATGGGCTGCAATATCCTGCTCTATGTTATATTTCTCCAGTGCCTGGGAAGCACTTTCCATGGAGTCCTGTTGCATCTCCTCCAACAGACATATTGGCATTTTTGATCACCGCCTTTTGGTGGCACATGGTTACCATGGAGCAGGGCCTGGCTGACCACAAAGGTCTCCTGGCGGGGGACTGGCTTGGCTCAGACCCTGCAGGGGAAACCGTTGCTACCCAAGCCGTGGCACGCATCTCTATTCTGCGTGTCTTTATTCTTCCAAAATGAGGGAGTTTTATAAAGACTGGGAACATTTAAAATAAATTGTGTAAAAGCATATTTATTTGTTTAATTATCTGTGTAAACCATAGTATAATGAAAATATTGTAATTGTGCCACTTTTCAAAGAAACACTAAGGAGAAAATTGTAAACCTCATGGATGGGGAATTATGCATACAAAGACTAATAGCTACAATAATGCTATTCAGAACTGTGCTGGTATTTTGCCCCTTTGGGGGTAAATTTAGAAAAAAATATATGTAAGGTTTCATCAAGTGACTAACCGTTAATGGGCATTGTACTGCAAAAGCCACACATACCACATTGAACATTTAGTAATAATTATTTATTTTAGTTATTCTCCTGGTACTTCTCTCGTATCTGCAATTGCCACGCTCTCAGAAACAGCATCTTTTGTAAGGCACCTGCCCGACAAGTAAAATGTACTGGTGGTTACAGCATAGAATTAGCAATTAGAGATTTTTTTTTTTTCTTTCAACACTTCATTGCTGAGGGCTTATTCTAAAGAGAACAAAAATAAAATAAAATGAGTTGATGAAGTTCTTCTATCCTGAGACCTAGGAGTCTGCACTGGTAGAGTCTTTTTACTAAGTGTTTTACTTGGGGATTTTTAGTCAAGTATGTTAGAGAAAATGGCCTGCTTTATGGCCAGAAAAACAATCTATATGTTGTTTGTGAACTGGGCTGATTATTCTGCCTTTGCCAGTTCTTATACATTCTTTGCTCTTCTCATTCTACCCTTTGCCCCAGGAGACTAACTTGTGCACATTACATCTCCCATACTCCTTAGTTGGCTTCCAGTTGGGTAGGTCAATGGCATCAGCATGTAACAAAGGGCTTGGCCCAACCTCTCTGTCAGTATCTCTACATCTTCAGGACTGCAGCTTCTTCTGGTGCAGGCCTTCCTCCAGGACTCAACTCTCACTATAATTTTGTACCAATCTTTATATATCTTGTCCTTTTAACCCCAGAGGGTTAATTGTATCCTACCTTAGCCAGTGACTGTGTGCCATGTCATTCCTATGTATTTCCTGACCTCTCCATATCTTTGAACTGCTATATTAACAGAAATCTCATCATTTGAACCATCTGAGGTCAATTCTGTCTTTTTCCAAGACACTGGCCATAAATCCTAAAGCACTTAATAGTTATTGATAGATGGTTTTAGCATGTTGTTTCATTATAGGGAAACTATTACTATTACAGTTATCTGTGCACTGTTTCTTTCTGTAACAACATAGTGAAGTGGATATGGTGATACTATACTCAAATTAGTAAATAACTAGATTAGGTGGAGATTAAGAATCCTTGCTCTGTGCTTCAATTTGGACTAACTCTGAGGGTCTTCCTAACTCCAAATCTAGCCATAAATTGACTGATGCCTCATTATTACTTCATATGGGTCAGCTTTTCTCTCTGCCCAATCTTGCAGATCTATCTCCCAAGAGTAGCCCCCAATAAATTTTCTGCATGCAGTTCTCAGTTTCTAAGATTTTTTTCCAGGGAATCCAATCAAAGTCATGCAGTGACCAGGGTCAGCCTGGACCTGAGCTAGTGGAGGAATATAAGCTAAAGCCCCAAATTCAGCAAATACTTAGACCATGACTGTAAGAATCAAATCCTCTTATACTCTCTCATAATAGCTGCCACTCATGCAGCTATTACCGAGAATAGAAAATACACGTTCTCCTTTCCAGTGTTTGAGCTCTTTTTACTAGGCATCCCCCAGAGAATGCCTTCACTTTTGAAGAAATTGTGCTGTGTTTCAGCAGGGACTAGGTGGACAGACATTTGAATTGTACCAACCAGTTATCTCCCAAATCATCTCTCCTGTTTTCTGGTCTTATTCTCTCTTATTTCAAGAACTGACTGTCATTGCCTTTTTTTTTAATGGGATGGTTCCATGAAACCACATGAGAGCATGGGTTTCTACCTGAGGCAGCCAGATTGTTATGACTCTAAGGAGTGAAGCAAGCCAGTCTTTAAAGAGACCTGATAAAAATCAATCACTGCCCTGGCCAGTGGCTCAGATGGTTGGAGCATCATCTCATACACCAAAAGGTTGTAGTTTTAATTACTAGTCAGGGCATATACCTAGGTTGCAGGTTCTATCACCAGTCAGGGTGCATATGGGAGGCAACTAATCAGTATTTCTCTCTCACATAGATGTCACCCTTTCTTTCTCTCTCCCTTTCTCTTTCCCTAAAAACTCAATAAAAACATATCTTTGGTGAAGACGAAAAAAAAAGCAATCACTGAGTCACAGAAAGTCCAGAAACAGGTTTAAAGTTTGAACTGCAAAAGAAAGAATATTGATAGGGATGTATTTGGGCAAAAGCAGGTCAGCAACAAATGAAGAGAATTCTAGGCATCTGCTCAAAAGTCTTGGGCTTTAGAGACTTGCCTACAAGTGTGTTAATAAGGGTGGATAAGGCAGGAAAATAAAAATATTATTTTCATTCTTATAATCCCCCTTCTCCCAGTGATTCCTGGGGCAAGAATCATTAGTATGCTGATGATTGCTTTTGACCAGGAGCCAGGGAGGCTCAGAGAACCAACATAAACCAGGGTCCTCAGTGCAAGCAGCCAGAATGCGTGAGAAACCAGCCTTGGTAGCGGGAGAATGGGAAAGGAGGAAGCAGAACACGGGAGGGAGGGAGGCATAGAGCCTTTACATCTATAGCAATGAAAGGGGGAAGGGAGGGTGGGAAGAGATAAACCAAAGAACTTATATGCATATATGCATAACCAATGCACAGAGCCCATAGTGTGGGGAAGACAGGAGGGGGCCAGGATTAGGGAGGAGGGAGTCAATGAAGGGAAAAAAGGGGGACATCTGTTATACATTCAACAATAAAGATAAGTTTTTTAAAAAAAAATCTATAGCAATGCAATTAGCATCAAGAGGGAATGTCAGCATAATATGCATATAAGGTAACTGGATATCTGAAATTACATTTAAATGAATTAAGTCTACTGGAAGTGATCAATAGTAATTTTAAGGCTTCTTTGTAAAATCGACCTCATACCACTCTTAGAGGATTCTTTCTACATAGAACAGTATGAAATATAAATTCAGAGAGAAAGATGACCATAGTTAGTGATAGAAAAAAATCTTAAATCACCAGTCAATGTTCTTTGGAAATATATGTTTAAATATCATAGTTTAAAAGCTTACATTAGTTTCTGTTTCAGTGCTTGAAAGTTAGCGATAGAACAAGGCAATTTTCTTTGCAATAATGATAGTCTTACTGCACCTCCTTAATATAAACAAAAGATAAAAATTGCTCAATAACACAACGTGTTTATTTACCTCCCATTCCCCTCACCAAAGTCTAGCTAAATAAGAAAAGGTAATTGGAGGTTAGTCTTTCATGGAAATGCTCTTTTAATGAAAAATAAACCTATTTTAACTAATACTCATTTAAACAGATTTAGAATTAAGAATCCTCTTTGAATTCAAGCTAATAAATTTAGGTCGATTCTAAGTATTTGTAGTGCAAATAGATTTTTACCAAAAGATTAGTTACCACAGCAGGCGGATTTAGTGGGGCTGACCCCACAAGTAATGGAGACTCGGAACCGCTGATAGAGTTACTCACAAAGCAGTCTTAATGAACTGCAGCTAACTGCAATAACCATTTTGCTAGGTGGTTTCTGCCCAATTTAATCACAACCACGGAGGTAATACTTTTAGGAAGGGGTGAACTTTAAGTCTTCTTTCATTTTAGAAACTCAGTAATCTTCCAGGTATTTTAATCTCATCCTGTTCGATATGGGTGGCCATATTTTCCCACCTCTCCATAGGAATAGTTCGTGTTTTGTTTTCTTAGGAAGGCAGGCCATTGACAAGTCTGAGGCAGAAAGCACACGTGGTACTGCCCATGCCAAGTTTCCCCACATAAACTCATTCCCATAATGGGCGTGGGGAGGGGTCGCGGAAGCCTGAAATCTAAGATGGCACCCAAGATGTCCATCTCATTGTGCACATGCCCTGTGAAATGTTTCCACCTGAGTGAGACCTGTGAGTACGAGGGGATTGTTCCCCTTGAATAAGCTGTGCTATATGGCAAAAGTGATGGGATAGCCACTCCTGCTGGACTGGACGAAGCGAGCTGGCATACTGTGAAGAGGGTCGCATGCCGGGAATTGCAGAAGGCTTCTAGGAGCCGAGGGCCGCAGTCCTACAATCTCAAGGAACTGAATTCTGACAACAATCACATGAATTTGGATGAGAATATCAACCTCTAGAAAGAGAATTTCAAGCCCAGATGACACGTGATTTTTAAACTTGTGAGACCCCAAGTACAGGACTAAAGTGGGGCACTCGATTCACTGGAGATAATAAATGGATGTTGCTTTAAGCTGCTTAGTTTGTGTTAATTTACTACAAAACTACAGAAACTAATACAGAGGGTAGAGGCAGGAACATTTGGGAAGTTGACAATGTTAATAACTCTCCGGTGCTATGTATATAAATTATTTGGAGTTTCTCAAAGCTGCCCTGGCACAGGCCGTAGTAGCAAAGAAGGAGGCAGTATTGCCTAGTGGAGTGAAGTTGCAGAGTCTGGATTCCCATCTGCCACTTAATCGCTACCTGAACTCAAATAAGGAGATTAGCTTCTTGGCAGCTCTGCTTCCTTGTTTATAAAATACAGATAAGAACAGTTCCAAAGGTTTTTGTAGCTATTAAATGGACTAATCCATACAAAGTGTCCACCTGGGTGCATGGTAACCATTCAATAAATTTTAGCTGTTAGAAGACTTATGTTGTAGGAATAGAAACTCTAACACACTAGCTTAGATGATTTTTTTTT